GAAAGCTGACGTTTCGTAGTTTCTTCTTCCATAAATTAAGACTCTTCATCTCTTTCATTTCAGGAAGTGCAATGCAACGCAGACACCAGCTCAGTCCGGACGAGAAAACCCTAGTTTGCAATGTATATGATTATTTCGTCGCCGAGGCCAAAGCAGGCAGAAGTGGAGGGCGGGACTCGCGCGATCGAACTAAAGAGGCGACGCGCCTTGGGAAAAGCACAGTTTTTCGGGTGCTCTGGGCATGGAACCTCGACCCAGACACCAATTTCGCCGAGGTGCGCTTGTCATTCTGGCCTATGTAGGGTTAAAACCGCTCTGTCGTGATATCATATGAAAATCTTATAATTTAGTGCTTTCGCTAGTAGAATGTACCATCCAGCACGAGGTCGCAAGAAGCTCATGAGGAAGATGGTGAGTAATTACTCTTTAAATTTATACAAATCCTTCTTTTTAAATTTGAACGTTTTATTTTTAACGCCTGTTTGTACAACTGTTTTGCCCTTTCCCACACTCTTGACCAATATAATATCAGCATTATAGCAACTGTTTCCCCGTTTAAAGGTCCTTGGAGACACCTTTTTGGGGAGCCTGTAGCGACAAAACTACTGCGAATTAGCCGGTTTTAACACCAAAATCATACTCAAAATGGGCGGTTTTATCACATATCTAAATGTCATATCTGGTTTTATCAAAATTGAGCCCCCCATGGGGATTTGATTACTAGCCCCTTCATTTTCTGCCGCTACAATAATAAATGCAGAGCCGGATGTCCAGCCCGTTCTTTTACATCACAACCACGATTGGCGATGCCCATAGACTGTCTGAAAAGACGATCAGTCCTGCTCGCAGCAAAGCGCGTAGCAGCTCATACGCTGGTAGATCATCGGCGCGTTCTTTAACCCAAAGGGCATGCGTAACCACTCAAAATGTCCTAGTGCGCAGACGAACGCTGACACTTTACGCGCTCGCAAGGTCATCATGACCGCCCAGAAGCCGCTTGCTGCATCCAGCGAGCAGAACCATAGGTAGCGCTCGAGATCTGTTAACAGGTCGTCGACTAGCGGCATTGCATACTCCATGATCGCGGTGATAGCATTCACAATCTTGTAATCAATGCAGAGCCGGATGTCCAGCCCGTTCTTTTTCATCACAATCACGATCGGCGATGCCCATGGACTGTCTGAAAAAGACGATCAGTCCTGCACGCAATAAAGCGCGCAGCAGCTCGTACAGCTTGCCGAGAAATCGCAGCGGCACGCGCCGGGCACGCTGTTTAATTGGGGTGTGCCCCTGTGTGTCGATATCGCATACCGCTCCGTAGGCTGGCGGCGGCAGTGCGTTACCACTAGCAATCAGGATGTGCTCGTGGTTCTTTGGCGTCGCGACTAGACGTTCTCGGCACTCAGTCGACAGCTCAGGATCAGCAACATTAGGCGCAGTGTAGTCAATTGTCGTGTTGATCTCTTCGGTCAGGTCCGGCAGGAATGCCAGCTCCTTCGCGTAGTCGTCCAAGCCAATGTTGTTAGCTTGGTGTTCGTAGAAATCATTTCTCGTATCCTCCGTTGCTTCATTTCCCTCGGTTGTTAACACTCGAGCAACCGAGATGTATGTTCCGTCCAACGCCGCTACGGATTCTTCCCTTGACTCAACATTGGCATCCGCTTTGATTTCAACAGTCGGTACTTGGTCCATCTCCTTCCCATCCTGGTTTCCCATCTCTGGGCCACCTGCCGAGTCGTCGTTCGCAATATTGAATGCGTGGGCCGCCGACATATTGGGTTGTTGACTTTTGTTCCGCTCCTCGTTCTGCCGCTGTCTTGACATTTCGGAATTCGCACCAATCTTGCAATGAATACTCGGTGCCGTACTCAACACCTTCTGCGCGATGCCTGTATCCTCTGGATCAACCACCGGTGGCTCGTTCGCAGATTTGGTGACACACAAGGCCGGGACAGCTTCGTCAAAACGGGTGACTCCATTCAATCCAGTGCCGTTGCTTGTCGCTTCCGTGGTCTCCCCTGACTGGACACTAACACTCGTTGGCGTATGTACCACGTTCACCGGTCTCAGCAGTTCGTGTGTACGCACTACCGAGGCTTCGTTCGCGTTATTGCCTCCGCCATGGGTTGTCGTGTACGTGTCCAAAGGTTCTGCGGAAGGCTGACCGTCGGCCGAATCCCCGGCTGTCACCCCAGACGCCAGACAGGCTTCCACTTGTTCACGTTCTTCCAGGATCCGTGCCCAGCGCTCTGCACATGTCAGACGATCACTAGAAATCCACTAGCGAGTCTTCTAGAGGTCGTGGTAGCACTCCACTGGGTTCTGGGTAGTATGGTCGATCAACCTGCCTGAAGAGCTGAGTTGCAAGCCCATTTGTTCGTAAGAATTTACGCAATTCACGCCTTGAAGGAAGCTCGCGGGCCT